CCCCCCCCCCCCCCTCTCTCACCATCTTCCAGTCCGCGACCCTCTGACAAGCGGCCACGGCGGTCCCGTACGTGACGACCGATGCCTTCACCCCCCTCCTCTCCATCTCGTCCATGAGGTCGAGGGCCTCCGACAGCTGCCCTGCGTTGCCGCAGGCACGGATGGCCGTGTTGTACGATACCTCGTTGGGCGACACGCCCTCCCTCTCCATCTCCTGTTGCGGGTGGGGTGTGATGATATAATCTTCATTCTGCTATGTGATCGCTTCTTTGCTCTTGTCCTTGTGGTGATTTCCTAACCTTTTCGTCGGCCCTTTTTGTCTAGCTAGATGGGCCGGTTCGGTGTTTTTTTGTTAACCCAACTACGAACCAGGACAAGAAAACCATTCCATGGGATCGGACAGCTGCTGTACGGGTCGACACACTTTTGGGCGCTTTTCGAGCGTCTATTGTGCCGACAAGACAAGAACAAAATACAGCTGAAATCACAACAACAAAGTGAACTTCAGAGTACCGTAATCGGACTCGGAAGCCGCTTTCCAGCAGTACGCCATCGTCACGAAAAGAAGCGAGATAAACAGGAACCCCTCTTAATGTCAAACGCTGCCACGGGAAGGGAGAGGGCGAGGACAGAATTTTGGCGTCCCGCTCTTCCTACAACGCGAGAGGGGGAAAAGGTGTGCGTGTTTTCTCCGGAGGGCGGAGCGCCGTTGTCGACCACCTGCTACATAAAACTTTGCCACGCAACAGCAGATGTCATGACGGCATCGCAATACACCCAGCTCCGCCTGGCAGTAAACTCACGGGCAAACACGTTGCATCTCGGTCGACTTGCCACGCGGTACACCTCATCCACGTACCTTAAGGAGCGCCAAGGCCCGCCGCCACTCCTTAGCATCCGCGCACGCCGCTATGGCCACGCTGTAGGTCCGCACATTGGGCATAACTCCCTGATAAGATCAAGACAACAACAAGAAAACACAAACGAGACAAGCAAAAACCAAACACCATGCCGGCGGGGATAAGGCGGAGTTCGTGTAAGAACACGAGCGATCAATCTAAAATAGGTAGAGCAAGAGTGTACCAACTGACAACAATCCCAACCACCCCTACCCCCCTTCCTCGGTTCCTGTCTATTTCGCGGGTCCTCCATCTCGTAAGATCACGAATCACGTATTGTACCTTGGATCTCATGAGGTCGAGAACCTTGATGGCTCTTTCGTGCTGGCCGCCCCTCCTCAACACCACCATCAGCGACGTGTAGGTGATGACGTTGGGCGTGAGACCGTCGTCAAGCATGTCCTCCAGAAGCTTCTCCGCCTGCACCATCAGCCATCAGAGTCGCCATCGACCGCGTCGTTCACAAAGTGGCGACGTATGCATAGCGTTGCTCAATGTTATGGAGGCACATAATACGTGTAGGCAGGACCAAAGTGGAGCAAATGAAACAGAGTTTACGAGGTGTAACTTTGTAGTAGCTTACGCGGTGTTTTTCTTTTCGATTTTGCATTCCAAGGTTGAAAGCCGTGCCGTCAATTCGCGCTAAAATCACATCATCTACTGAAGATCATACCGCAGTAGCGAAATTTATCCCCGTTTGTTGGTTTTGATCCTGACTAACACTTTGAATGTGCCTCCGTAATGGTAGATGGTAGATGCGTAGACAGACGCGATGCCACACTGCCAAACGCCGAGTCCTTGCAATTCCTTGTGTTGACGGGCGCCCTCATTTTCCTGCTGGCACGGCTTTTCCTACCCCTTGTGTATTTTTTTTTGTCTTTGCAGTTGTTGTTGTTGCTGTTGTTGCTGCTGTTGTTTGGCGTCAAAAGCCTCAAGCGTGCCATCGATCAGCTCCTACGGCCGTACTGTGCCGAGATGCATGCATCGCCACACTTGTGAATCGAGAACGTCCACAAAATACACACCAAAATACAACAAGGGGCATGAACAGCAACTCTGGCGCCTCCATGAACTACAAAAGAAAAAAAAACGCCATGTTTGTAACCGTACACATCAGCCAAACGGTACGACCAATAGTGCCTCCAGCAAACGTCGCAGACTTGTGCACAAGGTTTATCTTTGCGTTAAGTACAAAGTGTATCGTTGAACTTCAAACTTGTACAACAGTCTGGGTTCTGTTGTTTCGTACATAGTTCCATAAGCGAGGGTCACACTTCACCTGTGCCCACTGGCCCTTGTCGGCGCAGGCGCTTATGGCCACGCTAACGGTCACCACGTCCTTGGCCACGCCGTTCGAGTCCATCTCGTCCAGGTAACGGACGCATCGAGCCCACTTCCCCAGCTGCCCCGCGGCGTGGATGGCGGTGGTATAGGCGTACTTGTCCACCCACACCTCATCTTCTTGCATCTGTGTTGTTTTTTCGTGTGTGTGTGTGTGTTTTTTTTTTCATTTTTTCAACGAAAGGAAAGCACAACAAATGTTTTGGTCACACGTGGAGGTGGGCGCATGGGTCAGGAGTGTGTGAGGGTGCGAGCGAGAGAGCGAGGGGGGTCCTATGTTGCGCGCGAATACACGAGAGAAGGTGAAACAGAGACATGTCGCATATTCTCGTGAAAGCGAAATATGCTCACGGGAATAAAAGGGAAGAAGACGGAACACCGATTCATCCCACACCCGCCCCCGCGAACGAATGCCTCATGCGCAAAACGACAATCAACTCGTTTGTTGTTCACGGCCGCACGTGTTTGTTCTCCCTGAAAAACTAGCCCCTTAGGCACGTGCATGCGTGAGGCACGTGTATGCGTGAGCCAGCGATCCCTACCATGCCAGAAAGAGCCAACGGGGTTCTCAATCCACCCATTTGAACCGAAACGAGATATCGGTCAGGTTAACAAAACTATTTTGCTGGAGTTGCCGAGTTCACGCTTGAATGCACATATACGCGCAAAAATGAGAGAGGATTACGATCCCAAGAGCGAAACCGCCAAAAGCCTTTGCCTCGAAAAAGACCAACAAACAGGAAACACCCAGTTCATAACTTTCATCAAAGTCAGCTAATGTTTCCTCTTCGCCCCGCAAGGGGGGGGGGGGGGGGGGGGGGACGCCGACCCAAGCCTGCCCCCACTTGCTAAATCACAAGCACATGGCAAATAGAAGCGTTTTGTGTTTTCAACCGCACTAAGACTGACGTCTTTTCATTGGCCAGCCGGTGAGCGCGGCCGATGCCAATAACAAAAAAACACACACAAAACATGCACACACACACACACACACACACACACACAGCGATGCGAGGTCTCTCTCACTTGGTCCATGATGCGGAGGACATGGTGCCACTGCCTCGCTCGCTCGCAGGCCAGCATGGCGCTCGCGAAGGTAACCGGGCCCGGCGGGCACCCCATGTCCGACATCTCGTCCAGCAGGCTCACAGCCAGGGACCTGGTCGCCGCATGTAGGTCCACAAGGGGGGGTCGCGGGGGTCCCGCAGGTTCTCAGGGCGGGGTGCGTACATTGTGTTACTGGTGTCATGCTGTCACGATCTTCGCCGCAGAAACTAACCTTGCACGAGACCATTACTATTCCTTGGTCAATACTCGAAACACGCGGCAACCAATCTGTTGCCACAGACAACAACCACGACGCTATCAGTGAGTGTGCACTCCCCCTTCCTGTTCGGTCGGCGTATCTTTGTCCCCTCCCCCCTCCCCCTCCACGGCCCTCTTCCTCCGCCTCCTTCTCGCCCGTCTCCCGCCAAACTTTCGTTTCCCCAGCTTTGTTCCCCGTATCGCTCTTGCTTTCCGTGTCTCTTTGTCTCCCTCTGCCGAAGACCCCCCGCCCCCTCCTCTTCTCAAATACCCAATCTTCTTCACCGCTTCCTGTTCGCTTGTCATGGTCTTGCTCCCAAATATTTTTCGACTCCCATGGCGATGAACCCCTCTCCCCACGTCATAACTCACGGCGAACTCTCATGTCACGCAACTAAACGCGCAACCAATACATTACGCAACCGCCATGTATCTCGCAGCGCATCAAGAGGGCGTGGCAGCCAATCTCACCACTGCCCGCTCTTGCCGCAGGCGCTGATGACGGTGTTGTAGGTGACGGTCACGGGGAGGATGCCGTCCCTCCGCATGGTGCGGAGGAGCTTGACCGCCTTCTGCCACTGGTCGCTCCGCTCGCAAGCGCTGATGACGGTAGAGTAGATGACGGCGTTCGGTGCAAGCCCGGACTGACGCATTTGCTTTTGTTTTTTTTTGGTGGTGCCGTGGTGTGGATTGCGAAAAGCGACAAACCCCGAACGAAAACAACAAGCGTCGTCGAGGGGGGGAAGAGGGGTCAACAACATCGCTTCGTTGTTCCACCGCATTTTTCGTGCGTCTACCAGCAGCTACATCAACAATGCGGGCTAATCAAGATGGGGTTGTCTGATGGTAAATATGACGTTGCGCTTTGGCTTTGATCCCCGGTGGGCCGAAACGCGGAAGGGAAGTAACTGCTGTCCGCGCCAAGGAACTGAGAGAGGGTTTATGTCGGTTTTGAGGGGGGTCTCTAACATCAACAGCACAGCTCAGGCCGTGCCCTACAACGCAAAGAGAGAGCATCAGACGAGACAACGTGCATCGCGGCAGGACCTCTCTTCTTCGCAAAGTCTTGCTCTTGCTCGCACGCACTCGCAACCACTTTCTCCATGTATGTGGTCGTATCTCTTGTGCTGTCAAAAAAAAAAAAAGTCTTGTGTTGTCGATGCCACCCTGCGACAACGACTCGAAAACCCAACCTCCCTCCCTCCCAACCACACCCCCCAACGCTTCCTTCTCCAGTCGGTTGGCTCCAAAAAACTCAACATGAGCGATTACCAAGACCGGTCCCTCGCACACAAACCATCAAGACAGACACGCGCACACGCCGTAAACAGGTGATCGGTAATATGTATCACGGGAATCTCTCCAAAGCCAGTTCAACCTTAACAGACGGTGTGGGACCAAGCGCCTTCCCGGTCGCGAAAACGTGTCAGTTGCTGCCAACTTGCTGTCACATAGAGCCATTGTTCATTCACCTGCTAGCTGCTGGCGCAAGCAAGGACACGCGTGTCTCGCAAAGCGTGTTTTACATCTCATACATACCGTACCTCGAGGTAGTTGACCGAGTCTTCCCAGTTCCCCCGCTTGGCGCACGCGCTGATGAGCGCGCCGTAGGTGAAGACGTTCGGGCGGATGCCCCGCTCCTTGGTCATCTCGCGGAAGATGCCCTCCGCCCTCTTCTGCTTCTTGGCGTTGGCGCAGGCCGTGATGACGTTGTTGTACGACACCACGTTAGGTTCGACAGCCGGCACCGCCAGCCGCCACTCCTCCTCCTTCTCCGCAGCAGAGGTATAGGGGACGGAAACGCTGAGGTTGTCGTTTCCTCCGGGGTGAACGCCGTACCTTCTCTTCGCCGCGTCATTGCCCTCCTCCTCCTTCTCCTGCTCCTTGAGATCGCTCACAACTGTGGCTGTTGTGTCTACTCTCCTTTCATCCTCTTCGCTGCCCGCGCTGCTCCTCCTCGAGAGCACGCGCGCCTGCCTCAGGAGCATGATGGCCATCTCCCACTGGGCGTCCTTCGCGTAGGCCGCCAGCTGCATGTTGAGCTCGAACAGCGCGTCCGAGTCCGCTCTTGGCGCGTCCCTCCACTCGGGATCGCTGTCGGCCCAGAGCGAGGGCCCGGTGAAGGCGGCGGCGCCCCCGCTCGCCCAATCCTCTTCGTCGTCGTCTTTGTCTGGCTCTGCCTGCTGTTCCACCTCCGCCCATGTTGCTGCTGCCATTCCTGGGACGTATTGTTGCTGCTGCTGCTGCTCCGGCCGCCCCTGCCTTCTCTTCGCCGCCCTCCGCTTCGTTGCTGCCGAGGCTGATACTCTTGCCGCTGCTGGCTCTATGGTCGGCTCTTGTGCCGCTGCTGCTGCTGCTGCTGCAGAGGAAGAGCTGCTACCCGCCGACATCATCGCGTCCGACTCGTTCGCCGAGGCAGATGCGGCCGAGGAGTACATCATCAGCCCATCGGCAGAAAAAGAGCGTGGCGAGGACGGTCGCGTCGTCAGGGCCCGTTTTCGGCGACCGCCCGTGGTAAACCCACCGCTGCTGCTTGTGCTACTGCAAGTACGTCGAGACCAGCGTGTATCAGAAGTGTCGGACAACACCGACTGTCTCATCGCTGGCGCGGACTTCAACCCCCTCCTATTGCCCCCTCTAGCTCTTCCTTTTCCTTCTGACACAGCAGTCAAAGACCGCACGCGCTTTTCGCGTGCGGCGCGACGACAAGAACCCACCACGCGGCACGCCGCAGCAGTGCGCACGAACGCTGATGTTGTTGTCGCCGATAATGGAGCTGTTGTTGCTGCCGTGGGGACAAGCACAGCAGCCATGCTCCTGTCTACGCCACCTGCCGCCATGGCTCCGAGCATACACGACATAAGACAAAAGCTGCAACGTCTCCGTCTTACCCCTGTGCGCTGTTCGCGAGAGGCCACCTCGACACGCGTGTCCTCGAGAACGCGTGTATGACATATGACATGTTCCGCCCCAGACCCCTTAAGTGCGTTGAAGGGGATCCGGGGGGGGAGATTTTGGGGAAGAGGGGGTAGTACGGATTCACGGGAAGTTTTCGATGGTTTTCGAAGAGAAGCGTGTTTGGTTCGCGAGAGCAAAAAAAAATAGGGTTCACGATCCAAGGGCGACACACGAATTCCAGAGGGCTTGTATATCTTGCAGCCCAGGGTATCACGTTCACGATGAACGGGGTAGGCGCCGACGCCGAGCAGCAGCTCACGTACCAGTCGAGGCCGAGTTATCGACACAAGTACGTCAGATGATCTCCACGGACTGCTCTATCCGTATGTAACGTTCGGGAGGTTCGTTGCAAGTGCGTTGGTTGTCTCTCAACTCAACGGTAACCTGCCTGTGTGTTCTGCATAGTAATACTTCGTCATTACCCTTAACCCAGTCCTACCGCTCACATCTCGATACCAGGGCTTCTGTTAATACAATGCGAGATATAATCAAAGGCGTCCTCGAATCGGAGCTGCAGGGATGCACTTATCATGTAAGGTTCCGGATTTACGGCGCTTCCAGAGGGCCCTACGAGCAGACTATTTCAGCAGTGTAGGAAGTTGAGACAGTAGACTACCCATAACCAGAGAGCCGCATACGTCATTGTGTAGCTTGGATTCAAGATAGTTGCCGGTCAGAGGAGGAGGAGAATCACTAGGTGCAGGGACAGGGTGGATTCTCCTCATGACTGTACTTGGGAGATGAAGGGCGTGTGCACCACGCATGCATGATGATTTTAGTCTAGACTAGACTATCTTCACATAGACTAGTCTATATCTGGACATACACTTTCCCTTAGGTTTTCTTGGTTCGGCTGAATGTATCACTGGTAGGACAAACTGAAATTTTCATTTAAAATAAAATCCTTGCGCCTGGGTATTATCCGCGTTGGAAATACAGATGGACCAGGCTACTGTGCAGACCAAGAGGATTTGCGACGAAATAAAAAATGGGCTAAAGGGTGAGTGAGTGCATGTTCACACCAGGAACGACATTGACTTTGGTGCCATATTTTGGATGGAGCGTCATACGTGTAACTCAACGTGTGTTTACAGCCAAGCCCCTCTGACATGTAAACAGTGTACCCATTGGTTGTGGCACCATTGAAGACAACATACCTGCTGTTCGTTCACGCGGATGCTGTTCCATATTGGCCCAGAGATGAACCTCCCGAGATACAAGTACGTGGTGCAAGTGGTGATCGGAGAACAAAGGGGGGAAGGAGTGCGGATGGGTAGTCGCTGCTTTTGGGACTCCGAAACAGACAACGTTGCAAGCGAGACCTACGTCAATGTGAGGGTAGTGCGGCCGCCGACGTACCTAACTACAATCGTGTGCATGGGGTGCGGGGCGGTGGAGAGGACATTCTGCTGTCGTTGCACCCTGCGTTTCAGGCTATTTGTGCCAGTCGCGGTATCATCGAATTTCAACCCAAGTGCTTTGCTCCTTGTACCAAAGACCGGTTAATAATCTCCGTGTGAGTAAAGTGTCGATTGGTGTAACCTAGGGGATATCCATGCTCTGTGCAGCCCTGAGGTGAATCTTCCTCGTGGCAGTAAAACCTTCGCATGGACCCACTTATTCGTCGTCGTGAGCTCGTACAACTAACTACCGTTGTCCTTTTCCTGCGGCTGTGCGATGCGGAGCAGGACAGCGTTTTTTGCGTGGCGACGGCCTACGCAGTCTACCTCTGCTAACCACAGAGTGTCGTAATAGCCGGAAGGAGGGGGGCGAGGTGGTCTTTCTTCTGTCCAGGAGGAAACCCAAGACGGCAATGTCGTGTGCCCTCTCTATCGTGATTCGTGGTCCGTGGGCGACTGCCGGGAACGACCCTAACGAGCTAGAAATTGGGCAACTTAGGAACTCCCGCTCGGAATATGCGTACGGTCAAGGCCTGTAGACAGCGGTTATTAGTGTTCATGCGTGAGACAACGGAGTGTTGGCAATGTCCCGGGAGCGGGTCGATTCAGTCTCGTACCATAGAGTGGAAGAGGACAGGGTTGTTGCTGAGTGTGCGACAAGAATATTGTCTTCTTCTCATAGTTGACGAGTTTGGTAGGGGCGATGGTACCGGGCTTGGCTCAATGTTTTCACCGTGCCACAAGCTCAAGATCCGTGTTTTCACGTTTAAGGGAGATCCGGAATCCCATGTTATTCCTCTAGCCACGTAAGACCTGTGGAACGTACGACGTAGTTTGGTGGCTCGCTTGGCGAGACACTCTGGAGATGAACCAGAATGGACTGGCTGACTTCTGTGGAGCTGCAAGAAGAGATTGTCAAACGGCCCACCGATGACACGTATGTGCTTGCGCTTGTCGCAGGTTGATTTCACGCCGCGTAGCCATCCAAATACAAAGGAAGGGGAAATAAATCATCCAACCCCGTTTTCTTCACGTTCAACCGACGCCGCGACCGACTCTCGAGATTCCCGAAACGACCACAAGCACTACAGTAGGGTACTAGATAAACAAGACAGACAGCTCCTGATCCTACGGCTAAAGCCCAAACAAGTCGAGCAGGAACTGGAACCATTGTCCTGGCGAGGCCTCACGGGAATGAGACCACTTGAGTCCATCTCAGCATCCATTAGATAGAGCGTTCCATATGATGTCCACAGTGGCCCTCCCACCCCTCAAATCGTGTCTCGAACTCAACCGTTGCTTGCTGCTTTTGATAGAGCTGGGTTGAATGCCGTTTCTTGCAACGGCTGCTTCAAAGTGGTCTTAACTCCCCGCCTTTTCCCGGTAACTTCGACCATCACCGTCCTGCTGGTCTTTCCAAAGACCGTTCCGAATCTGAGAACTCGATATCTAGGTCATCGTCAGAGGAAAACCCGAAGTCCGGGGCGGACCAGGCCCCAGGGGCGGGGGTGGCACAGGCAGAGTCCACCACCCCTCGTCTTCCCCCGGGGATAGGTGTCGAGCGTTCTTCGTCGTCGCTGTCTTCACCGCTGCTGCCGTTGGGTCGCTCGCCCTGCGCAACGCCGAGCGGATTCAACAGAGCTTCGTGGCGGTCGCGGCGGTGGGTGCCTCCGTTGCCTGGTTCTTTTCTCCTCGGGTCGTCGTTGCCGTCGTCATCGCTGCTGCTGCTCCAGTCGTCGAAGGATTCCTTGGTGATGCCGCCCTTGGCGTGCGGTCGTTTTCCTTTGTGGCCAACCGGGTCCCGCCCGTCTTTTCGGCCGCCGCTGGCTCTTTCATCACCGGATACCCTTTTAGCACACGCAGAGTCGCCTTCATCGACACCCGCGTCGTCATCGACACCTTTCGGGTCGTCGACTGATGTAGCGTGCTGCTGGCTTGACCGCTCGGGCGTGGTGGTGCCGCGTCCCGCGCCACCGTTTTTTTCGGCTTCGTCTTCGTCATCATCCGAGAAAACAAACTCGTTTATCGTCGCCCATTCGGCAAGGAGAGACCCTGAACGGCTGCCGCCGCCACCTGCTGCGTGTTTGGGAGGTGAACCAGCGGTGCTCGCGGGGGGCGTGGGCGTATCCGCTGCACTGCTCTGTCCCACGTCACCCACCACGGCCTCTGGTGCAGGTTCAATCTTCTGTGGAGTCCTGGTGGTGACCCCCGAATCACCGCTGGACCGTTTTTCATCAGCGGATGCTGCCACGTCACTGGCGGCCGAGGGTCTATCGGGTGAAAACGGGACCATGTAGTCCTCTCCCTGCGCGTGTGCCGGCGAGCGAGCACGTGCTCAAGTTGGACTGGGTGGGGGTAGCATGCGTGATGTCATGCCGTCAACCGCCGTATCGAGACCTTGCAGGTCAGCGCTTGTGGAAGGAACGTAACCAGGAATAAGTGCTTAACGCGAAACCTGGTAGGGATATGTAACGCTCCCAACGTGATCTTTCGGGCTCGCCAACCCTTTGAACCACGAAAACGCTCCTAAGTGTGTTCCTCCGGATGGCTAGTGCGGACACCGCGAGGATGTAAGAGGGATGAAGGGGTAGGCATGATGGGCGTGAACATCGAAATTTGTAGCAATCCCGTCTACAAGACGTCGAACTCTATCTAGGCAACAACTAGCTGGCTCACTGCGCGCGATTTAATCTTATCAGCTCGAATTTCTTCCGCCTGGTTTGTTGAGCTCGAAACGCACGTTGGTTTCTCCTTGGACTTCCCCTCACCGTTTCTTGCTGGAGGTCATAGCTCTCCACTCGCGATCGGCTCAGAGGCTTGCCGTCTTCCCCCGGGTCGCCGTTCTCGCTCTCCGCCGAGCTCGGCGCTTGCTCCCCCACACTGTCATCCTCTTGGCTACCAGCCCATATGGCACGCTGCTCGTGCAGGCCTCCAGCGGCACCAATGCCGCCGATACCGCGGCTTTCGGGAAGCGACCACCTGCTGTGGGCGCTGTCCCCCTCGAGGCTGTCACCCGATTCTTCGAGCTCCTCTCCAGTCTCTTGGTCTCCCGGTTCTGTCGCTACCGCCACGGCACTCCCGCTACAACTGGTCAATCTTTCGGCGATGATATTGCCCGATGCAGTTGTTGTCGATTTAGGTGTCGGAGCCGCGGTGGTGGTGGTAGCAGTCGGTGTGGCGCACGGTACACCGGCCGATGATTCAGTGCTCCCTGTCCTTGGCGGCAGGACTAGATCGGTGTCATCTCTCTCGCAGTCACCTTCCCCCCCGGTCTTCTCCAGGTTCTGCTGCTGCCGCGGCTGTGCTGAAGCTTTCCCTCGTGTCTCTTTCGCTGTCCCCACCCCTTCCGCGCCAGCAGGTATTTCCACGTTCCGGCTGAGGATGGCGGCACCGTTTCCTGTGGGTGACAAGGGTGTGCCATTTCCTTCCCTACCGTGTTGCTCTCCACCCTCGGCTAGCGCTGCAGGTTCCCGGGGTACCCCGCTAGAAGACTCCCGTGGTTCCCCACTAGACACTATGTCATATATGCTGCTACCGTAGGCGCTGCTCCCAGCTTTGCCGCAGCTGTCGCTGCTATCCTTTCGTCCACGCGAGCCCTCTCGTTGATCCACATCATCTTGCACTGCATCCCCGGACCCCAGAGGCAGATTTTCGTTCCCACCACCACCTGCTGCGAGCTCCGTGCGTAAATCCACTGCGTCCGATTGTGGCACAGTCTTCTTTTCGGACTTCGTGGTCTCGCCCAACGACGGCCGTGGCGTGCCCAGCCCTACTTCATTGTCCTTGTCTGCAGCGTTGGTGCCGACCTGCGTGGGGCAGAACAACACAATTAAACGCACAACAAATTGTAAATGATACTGCACTAACCGGCTAGCGGACTACAGAGTGACGGTGAAACAAAGCAGCAGACCAGACCAACAATATGTAGATTCGATACAAACCCAGGCAATTGTGGCTGCAGACCGCGATAGATGTTTGACGGATCGCGGTACTCTTCGTACCCGGTTTTGGTGATCGGGAATGACGGGGTCCGCCTAAACGAAGGGAGGGAGGTCACCTGCAAGCACAACGAAGCCGAACGTCGTTTCACACCAGGAGCGCGATAACTGCAGCTCCTACGGCTGCTCAACCCGTCTTGCCCACAACCGAGAGGTCAATCTTGTGTCTGGGGTGTCCACCCGTCATGATATTGACCGCTGAATTCTTGGACAATTTGGCCAAGTCTCTCACCTCCTCTTGGGCGGACGACAGCGAACTAGACCCCAACCGCTTCAACAGCCCGCTCAACCCTGTCCGGAAGGCGGGCGCAGTCTGAGCCGCAACTGCGTGTCCTTGCACCGGCGTTGCCGCGGCGTGAATGTGCTGTTGTTTTTGCTGCTGCTGCTGCTCGAGATTTTGGTGTTTTCGATTACTGTCCAAAACGATGGATGGGGAGGTGGGGGGGTGAGGCTGCTGTCAAGAGCATGCGCAGTTGCCGACAGAAGCTATAACCATGAATCACAACCTCTATCAATCAAATTCGTACCGTACGTCCGGACGAAACATGAAATAGCCTTGTGGGAACAGAACTTGACATCGTTCACGTATCAGAGCGTTTTTAACCAGGTAGACCCTTTAAGGAGGAACACAGTAACGTCAACTCAACGACAGTCACGACCCTCAAAAACACGCTTGGAGGGAAAAGAACATTCTCCGCGCTGCGCCTACCAGTCAGGTGTGCTACTGCTGCGGGTGCTGCTGACGCCATCGCCGGCGCTGGCGCCTCCCTTCACGTTCTTCTCGATGTCAGTGGTGCCTGTCTGTCTCCACAATCCTTCCAAACAGCGTAACTTCAACGCGTGTCCGTTTAGCGTCTCGCTCACTTCTTCCAGGCTAAGAGGAAGATGAGTGAGGGACGGAAAAGTGACGATAATTGGAGCCAGATTTCAGCCGTGCACCGGTGCTAGTGTATATAGCATAGTTGCTTGTTGTGTGTTCGGCAACCTAAGGCAACCATCAAGGGCGTGAGGTGTCTAGGGTGGTGGGATCCACGTCACTAGTCGCGCTCACGACTGGTACTACCTTGACTGGGCTTCGGTGCGACCAAATGATCAGCACAGGGTGATCGAGAGACTGCTACCGGTGGCCGTGCCTGTGAAGAATATATAATGGAGACAAAGGCTTGCTCTACGAACACACCTGTTCTCAAATATTGCTTGTTGCCTACTCGCCGCCCCCGCTGCTAACACCATCTCCTGCACCGTTTTGGCAATGCCCTCCACCTTTTCCGCTTCCGCTGACGAAGGAGCAGCGACCGCGGCGGGTGTGAGGTCGGTCGGCGTCTTTCGTTCCCACAAACGCTCAAGCTCATCGAGCTTCACGTTGAACCAAACCACATTCAAAGCGGGCAACCGGAAGCGAAGAGAGAGAGAGAGAGAG